CTGAGCGGGGGACACGCTGAGCGAGGGACACGCTGAGCGGGGGACACGCTGAGCGAGGGACACGCTGAGCGAGGGACACTCTGAGCGAGGGGCACGCTGAGCGGGGGACACGCTGAGCGGGGGACACGCTGAGCGAGGGACACGCTGAGCGGGGGACACGCTGAGCGGGGGACACGCTGAGCGAGAGACACGCTGAGCGGGGGACACGCTGAGCGGGGGACACGCTGAGCGGGGGACACTCTGAGCGAGGGACACGCTGAGCGGGGGACACGCTGAGCGGGGGACACGCTGAGCGGGGGACACGCTGAGCGAGGGACACGCTGAGCGGGGGACACGCTGAGCGGGGGACACGCTGAGCGGGGGACACGCTGAGCGGGGGACACGCTGAGCGAGAGACACGCTGAGCGGGGGACACGCTGAGCCGGGGACACGCTGAGCGGGGGACACGCTGAGCGAGGGACACGCTCAGCGAGGGACACGCTGAGCGGGGGACACGCTGAGCGGGGGACACGCTGAGCGGGGGACACGCTGAGCGGGGGACACGCTGAGCGGGGGACACGCTGAGCGGGGGACACGCTGAGCGAGAGACACGCTGAGCGGGGGACACGCTGAGCGGGGGACACGCTGAGCGGGGGACACGCTGAGCGGGGGACACGCTGAGCGGGGGACACGCTGAGCGGGAGACATGCTGAGCCAGAGACACGCTGAGCGGGGGACACTCTGAGCGGGGGACACGCTGAGCGAGAGACATGCTGAGCGGGGGACACGCTGAGCGGGGGACACGCTGAGCGGGAGACATGCTGAGCGAGAGACACGCTGAGCGGGAGACACGCTGAGCGGGGGACACGCTGAGCGAGAGACATGCTGAGCGGGGGACACGCTGAGCGGGAGACATGCTGAGCGAGAGACACGCTGAGCGGGGGACACGCTGAGCGAAGGACACGCTGAGCGGGGGACACGCTGAGCGGGAGACACGCTGAGCGAGAGACACGCTGAGCGAGAGACACGCTGAGCGGGGGACACGCTGAGCGGGGGACATGCTGAGCGGGAGACACGCTGAGCGAGAGACACGCTGAGCGAGGGACACGCTGAGCGGGGGACACGCTGAGCGGGGGACACGCTGAGCGAGAGACACGCTGAGCGAGAGACACGCTGAGCGAGGGACACGCTGAGCGAGAGACACGCTGAGCGAGAGACACGCTGAGCGAGGGACACGCTGAGCGAGAGACACGCTGAGCGAGGGACACGCTGAGCGAGAGACACGCTGAGCGAGGGACAGGCTGAGCGGGAGACACGCTGAGCGAGGGACACGCTGAGCGGGAGACACGCTGAGCGAGGGACACGCTGAGCGGGGGACACGCTGAGCGAGAGACACGCTGAGCGAGAGACACGCTGAGCGGGAGACACGCTGAGCGGGGGACACGCTGAGCGAGGGACACGCTGAGCGGGGGACACGCTGAGCGGGAGACACGCTGAGCAAGGGACACGCTGAGCGAGAGACACGCTGAGCGAGGGACACGCTGAGCGAGGGACACGCTGAGCGGGGGACGTGCTGAGCGAGGGACACGCTGAGCGAGAGACACGCTGAGCGAGGGACACGCTGAGCGGGGGACACGCTGAGCGGGGGACACGCTGAGCGAGAGACACGCTGAGCGAGGGACACGCTGAGCGAGGGACACGCTGAGCGAGGGACACGCTGAGCGGGAGACACGCTGAGCGAGCAAGGGACAGAAGACCCGCGTGGGGAACCCACGTGTCGTGAAACGCGCCAGTGCATTTTTCATCCTCACGGTTGCCTCGGTAAATAATGAAGCATCCGTAAACAAATCTAAATTTGAGCAAACCGCTGCGGAGTGTCGCTGTCCCGGCTGCGGTCGAGGGTGAGCGTTTGCTGGGCACATTCGAGCCGCGCGGAGAGAGGAAACTGCTAATCGTTAGGAGAAGCATCTGCTCACGCTGGATGCGCACACCTGCTATGCGATTGTTGCCAGGCTACAAAGTAAGCGCCGGATGCTCTGAGTTTATTGCAATTACACATCTGCTGCAATTACCTCCAAATAAGCCTGGCAATAAATACAAATACAACGAGCACAGGGCTTTGTGAGTTGTCATTCCTTGCAATTTCAAAGCAAAATAAATTAATTTTTTTCTGAAATAAATATCTCTTTTCAATAATAACAACCATTACATGCCATGCTATTTCATCCAAATTCTATGAACAGTAAATGCTTACAAAGAAAATTTTACCAATTTACTCCGTAATTTTTTGTTTACTGTTTTCACATTGAATTAGTTCAGGCCTTCTCATCTTTCATCATCCTTGCCAGGTTGGGTTTCCTTTTTTTTTCCACAAGCCAATCCCGGATATATTTCTTAGGCAACGTCGAGCCAATCAAAACTGTGCAATAAACCATAATATAGTTTGGTACAAAACCAATTCCTGCAACTCAAACACAGCTGCCAATTCCCAGACTGTCCGAGTCCGGAGGATACAGGAAACTCATGCAGAACAGAGGGAGAACATATGAACTGCACACACGAAGGAACCCGAGTCAGGATTCGAACCCAGACCACGCTTGCTGTGAGGCACAAGGGTTGCCCCCCACTGTGCCACCCCGACACCCGTAAGCAGAGCGGAGGAGACTGGCTATGGAGGCCGATATTGGAGTGGGCACTCGGGGGGGGGGGGGGGCTCGGCGACTAAAGGAGACACGTCGAGCCAGATGGCAGGCCACTGGAAGAGCGACATTGGAGGTCGGGTGTCAGCTGCTTAACGGCAGAAATGCATCAATGGTGAGGTGTTGTGGCATCCACGCCATTGACTGTGATGATCTTGAGACCGTGACCTTGAACCCGATGATACGCTGCGAGATCTCTCCTTCACGAGCCCGGCCAGGCGGCGTGTTCCCCACGTGCCGGTGACATACGCAGTGCCGGGGTGGCGAGTTCACCGCACACGGGTCACTGTGGACGCGTTTGAGATGTTGCTCGCTGACAATGAATGACAGCCATTAGATTTGAATACTTTGCTGTTAAGAACCCGTACACGTCTAGCGATGGTCGAGAATAACACGGTACACTCGCGGGCCTCCCCTCGACTTCAAAACCATGGCCATTGTCCGCGTGTATTCATCAGTGCATTTCAATATTGAAGAACAACAACAAGAACACTCTTCAAATTAACAATTTAAATCTGGGAAGCAGGATGGTGCCTTGGTAACGCTTGTGTCTCAGTCAAGAGGACCTTGGTTCAAGTCCTCAATGGGGAAAGTCTCTATGTCCTCCTCTCATTCTGCGAGGGTTTCCTCCGGGTTCCACGGCTCCCTGCCATTGCTAAAAACGTGCAGTGTAACAACTGCTGTTGGCCAAACGCCCCAATGTAGCAGGACTCTCCTCAATACGAGTCTTCAGACTCAGCGTAGCTTTCCCATGTAAATAAGCAAATAGAGTGCACACTGTAATTGCACGACTGTTTATCAACGGGCGTGTGCAAGACGGGAGCGCTGTGCGAGAGAGACATGGGACACACGTGTGCAAGACGGGAGCACTGTGCGAGGGACATGAGACACGCGTGTGCATGATGGGAGCGCAGTGAGAGAGAGACATGGGACACGTGTGTGCAAGACAGGACCGGTGTGCGAGAGGGACATGGGACACGCATGTGCAAGACGGGAGCGCTGTGCGAGAGAGACATGGGACACGCGTGTGCAAGACGGGAGCGCTGTGCGAGAGAGACATGGGACACGCATGTGCAAGATGGGAGCGCTGTGAGAAAGAGACATGGGACACGCGTGTGCAAGACGGGAGCGCTGTGAGAGAAAGACATGGGACACGCGTGTGCAAGATGGGAGCGCAGTGAGAGAGAGACATGGGACACGCGTGTGCAAGATGGGAGCGCAGTGAGAGAGAGACATGGGACACGCGTGTGCAAGACGGGAGCGCAGTGAGAGAGAGACATGGGACACGCATGTGCAAGACGGGAGCGCTGTGAGAGAGAGACGTGGGACACGCGTGTGCAAGACGGGAGCACAGTGAGAGAGAGACATGGGACACGCGTGTGCAAGACGGGAGCGCTGTGAGAGAGAGACATGGGACACGCATGTGCAAGACGGGAGCGCAGTGAGAGAGAGACATGGGACACGCGTGTGCAAGACGGGAGCGCTGTGAGAGAGAGACATGGGACACGCATGTGCAAGACGGGAGCGCTGTGCGAGAGAGACATGGGACACGCGTGTGCAAGACGGGAGCGCAGTGAGAGAGAGACATGGGACACGCGTGTGCAAGACGGGAGCGCAGTGAGAGAGAGACATGGGACACGCGTGTGCAAGACGGGAGCGCAGTGAGAGAGAGACATGGGACACGCGTGTGCAAGACGGGAGCGCAGTGAGAGAGAGACATGGGACACGCGTGTGCAAGACGGGAGCACAGTGAGAGAGAGACATGGGACACGCGTGTGCAAGACGGGAGCACAGTGAGAGAGAGACATGGAACACGCGTGTGCAAGACGGGAGCGCAGTGAGAGAGGGGGGGGGGGGGGGAGACGTGCGAGGAGGGATTGGACGAGACCCCAGCGACAGGTGAAACCGATAAGACAGATCGGACGAACGAGACAAACATATCACCTCCGAGGGAGCTCCGACAGGTGAGACAAATGAGATACATGGGCTGAATAAGTAAAAAATATAAAATGTCTGGCACTAGCACCAGATGAGGCCAGACACACACACAACTGAATCCGATAGGAAAATAGAATTGAAAATTCAGAATACATTTCCAAACGTTAACAAAGTGATCCAGACGTGTCAATTGTTCAACGAGGACAAGCAGAGATCTAAATATAATTGAAAATCGAGCGACGATTTCCCCCCCAAAAAATTAAATTGCCTATGAAAATCCACGCCCGTGTATTAAACAGGTATTCCATCACGCGTGAAACGCATCTCGAAAAACAAAACGCAGGTAGAGGGAAATGATCGCGCTGCGTGAAGCAGGCGACTCACCGAGTGGAGTGCGGGAGGGGATTCGGGAAGGAGACGGTGCAGCAGCCTGAGGGAGAGAGAGAAAGAACGCGGCAATCGTAATGAGTCAGAAACGTGAGCTCTTTGTGTTCACAGGTGCATCGAGTGTCCATCCGCACAACAATAGCTCAGCTGCAGCTACACACAAACAGACGGTTTGTAACGCGCGCACACACCCTCAAGCAGCCAATCGGCAATATGAAAATCTTTCGCCAAGAGATCCCCCGGCTCAAATGGGCGTTGAGGTGATGCTCATCTCCCGTTTACAGCCCTGCAGAGCCGGTGCTTGAAATTCCGCATTGGCAGGGATGAGTATGTTCATAAACCAATGTTGACTTCCCCACAAATTGGTACAAATTCTATTAACCCCGGAAGGTTGAGTGAACCACCCCAGCCAGGATTAGAACTCGCACACTTACGATTACGAGCCACTCGCCCTGCCGCTTGCAGGCCGGCGTGCGGCGCAGCGTCCACGAGTGGAGACGTGCGCTATGACGACGCCGCCCTACTGAACCGTAAGAGGCGAGCGCGTTCGTAATCTCAAATGCCAGTCTTCAGAAAGCTTCGGACCATCGCTCAGCTGCGCGCACGCCAAACCGCCAAGCGATGCCACGGGCACGCTCACCTCTGTGCGTCAACTGGGCACATTTTTACATTTTACGACCGTGCGATTTTAAGACTTGGCACTGTTAAGAGCCCATACACGTCTGCCGAAGGTTGTGATTCGTGCACTGCACTCACGGGCCACCGCTCTACTCCCAACCAATGATTACTTATCCACGTGTATTCATCGGTGCATTTCAATATTGAGAAACAACAACTAGGATGACGCGCTGCTTATGAACGATGTAACAACGCGAGCACGTAGGATGGAGGTGTCGACGGAGCGTCTGCGCGGCACGGAACGGGTGGCGCGAGGCAGGAGGGTCGATGTGCGACAGAGAGACGAGGGATGGATGAGACGCCCCGACGGACAGACGCAGCGTTCAAGTGAGGCGAGGCCAGACGTACGCTACGATTGCAAATACATGAAGCCGGGACAATTCCCAATATGAAATTGGATACCATGCGTGTGTGGGACCTGTAATGAAGGCCGACATAACCTTCCAATTGGAATTCTGCACGAGGACAAACATCTGAGCCTTTCAGTGTCAAAAGGAACCTAATTGCAGATCATGGGATGCTTAAAGTCACTGGCCTAAAACAAATGACCCATGAACCCCCACGCCACTTTGGTAAGCGAGCCAATGCCTCTCTGCTGCCATAAACACGGCTTAAGGAAATAAAAAAAAATTATATTATGCGGACACCTTCTGTTTTAGCCGTTTTATATGAGAACAACGGAATTGGCAAATTGAAAAAAAGATCATTGCCAATGAACCAGGCGGCATTTAAACCAGACGGCTCTTCCGCAGTAACGCCTGACTGGCAAAACGCTTAATTCCGTTTCACGTTTAACATTGAATTCTTCTGCCAATACTACTAAAAGTAACAATCTTTGCATTTATAGGCCTCAAAGGCCTCGGCAAAACCACAGCGTCTTGCGTATGATATTACCTCACACGTTCAAAGGGAACCCCCAGTGCCAGCTGTCCCTTCGTGGCATGAGGCGACTCAACATCGGCCTGCAAGTGGGAATTAGTCTGCCCGCTAACAATATTAATACCACACATAGCACACACAGATACAAAGACAGACCCCCCCCCCATATAGCCTCAACAGATTGTTAGCAAGCACCGACGAAGGCCAGAATGGCACACGAGGGGGTGGGTGGCCAACACCACGCCTTTGTCTCTCCAGTGGCGAAAATTTACGACACACTGCACCAGGTACTGATTTGAGGCTGAGTTGATTTAGGGGAGGCCCAGGACCAGTTCTGATAATCATCACTGGTGTTGGCCGTGAGCGGGAATCGAAATTGGATCACCGGGTTCGTACCGCAGCATGCTAACCGCTACACTACCGCTCCCCACACACACACAACACACACACATCCACCCACACATGAGGAAGTCCAACACTTAAAAAAAAATGCAATGTTTGAAATAGACACAGAGAGAGTAGTTATTATGGGCTTCGACAAAACAATTAAACAAGTAACTCTGAACACTTCAACCCAGATGTGCGATTATACAAAGAACACTTTTACATCTACACCTAGGCCTGCACGGCCCTCCAACTAAGTCGTCTGAGATCCCAGAAACAAATCTTGGATCGGCGCGACGCAATTGGACCGAAGTGGGGTGAGCGAAAGAGCGCTTTGCGCACGCTGCGGAGTTGTGGCGAGGTTCCTAACAACCACAAGCGTCGCCGAAGGCCCCACCGCTGCGGCTCTGTTCTGCCAACAAAACTGTGGTGGTGGCTCCATCACCGACAGCTTCCGACCGACGACCGGTCCCCACGCACGCCTCTTCCACACGTGGGACCGTGGAAGACGGTGACCCACGGCGCAGTGACCGCTGCCGCCGGAGCCAAACCACGAAGCGCATCGCGAACAAAACCGCCTTGTACGCGGCCCGCTCTCCGGCGGACTGGACTGCGTTAGTCGCGCTACTCCGGAAGCTATCATCATCACGTGGCTCACAAACTTAGACCTGGAGATAGAATTGACAGGTGCTTTCCATGCGCTCGGAGATAAATTAAACGGCATGGATTTCTATTCATTTTTTATTTACCGTGATGTCTCAACGAAGGAATGAAAGAAAATGGAAACGCAGCCGTGCACTAACAGGAGAAGATTGCTGGTGGATCATTGAGTTACGACCTCATAATAAATACAATGGATAATTAAATGAGCAATAACTAAGCATCACGTAGGAGAGAGCGCACAGCCCACATTAGTCTAATCTATGAGCACTGCGAAACTCAATGGAGTACGTCAATGTATCCACACACGTAAATTACGTAGTGGAATTTTGATTTAAAGCTTTCGTGACTGCAGGGATTCATCTTCTTGGTTCTTTCGGTAAAGTCACGTAGAAGGGAAGTAATACAATAATAAAAATAAAACATAATAAAATTATTCTCACGACGTTTCGGCCGCAACGCAAGCAGCCGTCCTCAGGTGAAAACCAGGTCCGTCGAGGCGACAGAGTCTGAAACTCTGTGGCTGAAACGTCGTGAGAATAATTTTATTATGTTTTATTTTTATTATTTTATTACTTCCCTTCTACGTGACTTTACCGAAAGAACCAAGAAGATGCGTAGTGGAATTCAACTTGCCCTCGCACGCGCGAATCCAATACCTTGCTCGTGGTACGAAATCATTCACTTTGCGTGGCTACCCTCGCAAAGGGGTTCACGTAGCCACGCGCACGTGCAACCTGAACCTCAGAAGCGCTCACACGCCCGCACACACGTTGCACTGCAGCATGAAAACAGAAATAGCGGCGGGGCCGTAAACGGGGCCTGCAAGAAGGGGGCACACGCCCGACCGAGCGGGTCGCAATGCCGGCATGCGGAGCGCTCGGCATTTGTCACCTGGGCGCGGCAGCACCGGCGCGGCGTGGCAAATGGGACGCGGCGTGGAGCACCAGCAGCGGGGGACCGACGAGTCGTCCGTTGCGTTGCGGCAAAATAAAATTGGGTCTTGTGCCCCTCCGCCCACCCCCCCTTACCTTTTCCCACAATATCCATCCCGGTGTTTGTGTGTGCCCCGTGCACAAGGCAAGTCGGGGCGGTGAATGTTTTTGTGCCGTTTGTTGTTGTCACGTTCTGACCCGCCCCGACTGGACATCTGTGAAAAAGAGCTTTATAGCTCATCGGATTTCTCGAGGATAAATAAAAATTCGGATTTTGAAAACTCATCTGTCGCTCTGCCAAATCAGCCTACACGCGCCAGATCTTGTCAAGATTTTGAAAGCCAAGCAGGCTGATGCTGGTTGGTTGTTATCAATGGATGACCACGAGAGATTTCCAGGCATTACAGATTTGTGGCATGGGTTTTCCTTGTTGGATTCTACAGTAGTTTTTTTTCTCCCCACAAGGCACAAACTCTCCTGAATGTACAGGTCCCAACGCCGCCACACGGGACCCTCATCACAGAGAGTCTCGAGACTTAGCGAGGCTCCCCTGGGAAGTAATTTTCTACACCGCCGAGGGGGTTGTACTATGTACGAACGTTAAACTTCTTCTTTCGTACGTCGGGATTGGCGGAATACCGCCGTGAGCCGATTGTGTCTGAGCGGAAGCGTGCCTCCTCGGGTGTTTGGGGAAGTGTGTATGTATGTCGAACGTCTTGTACGCATGTAGCCAACTGTGCTAATCGGGGGAGTTTGTCAATCTAGATGATGATTTAAAATTGCATAGATCCAGTGCCTTCCTAATATCGAATGAGCGTTCCAGACGGCCGCAGAAGCGCATCTGAAAGCGCGATGCGGTGACCCCGTCTTTGTTCGACGGCTAGCAAAAAGCGGCTACTGCGAGGATTACTGGATTGTGCGTGATGAAGGCATTGTGGTTCATTTGTGGCGAGCACTTTGTGTGTAATGAGTGCGGGTTGGTATGTCACGCAATTTTCAGACGTCACCTCGACTCACGGAAACTTCCTGGTGATATCATCGCGGCGTCAGGTTTATTTGCTTATCCAACTTTCCTGCGAAGCCTCAGAGACCCAAAATGAACGGGAACATTTTCTATGTAATATTATCGTGAAAACGCTAACTAAGTTACGAACCGCTCTGTGTGGGCATTGCTTACCAATTCACACAGTTTGGCTCGAGGTATTCTCGTTTTCTCCCACACTATATATATCAAGTATGTGGTGAAACTTCCAATACAAAGACCTGAACCATTTGAAAAATAGCGAGGCTTTTGTGGATCAATAAAACAAAAATAACGTGCACGCAATGGATGCGTGCACTTAACGCCACATATAACATACTGATGAAGGTAACATCCATTTGCAACGCACGAAATCCCCAGGTAACTCATAGCTGTGTGTTGGTATTGGCTCAAAACGCACCAAGGGATTGTACAACAGGATAGGGCGCCAAATGGGAAAACAAGAACAATTATTCAAGACTTTTA